GGGTGCTGTGGGTGCGTGTGTTGCGGGAGCCTGTGAAGAAGAGGAGGCAGAGGGGAGGGAGGGAGAGGGGAGGGGGGGGGGGGGGGGGGGGGGGGGGGGGGTGGGGGGGGGGGGGGGGGGCAGGAGAGGGGGGCGATTGCATGGTCAGTGATCGAGGGGGGGGGGGGGAGGGGGACACCAAGGAGGGACACCCAGGCCACTCAGGGACTGTGGCATGTGCAGACACACGTACCATCTCACCACGACGGATGTCCCAGACAATGACCACCTCGCCGGCGGCCGAGAAGACCCGGTTGGTGAGCGAGGCACGAATCTGCCCAACGCTCAGGTCGGTGGCCGGGGCGAAGACCGAGGCCGGCAGCGCGTCCGGCGAGGTGACCACGCCGAAGGAGGACAGGGCCTCATACCGAAGGTAGGTCTTGGACATGTTCCTTGGCGGCGGGCGGAGCAGGGGAAGACGGGACAGCGGAAGGGAAGACGAAAGGAGGGGAGGAAGGAGCGGAGAGAGGGCGAAGCAGGCCTTAAACGGGGGAAATGGCTGGGGAAGCGGGAGACAGAGGGAGGACTGGGGGGGGGGGGGATATGTGACGAATGCCAGAGGGGGGAGGGGGAGGACTGCTGGACCCACCTGCAAGCGCGGGATCTGACTGAGGCGTTCCTTTTTTCGCATCGGCATTTGCCACGCTGCCTACTCCAGTCCCCCTCCTTCGGAAGAGGCGGAGGGGGGGGGGGGGGACATAGAACCTCCCCAGGAGCCTGGTGTTCGGGCCAGGCGGGGACGCGCCAAGCGGGGCGCATGTGGCTCCGTCGGTCTCCCGCCGTGCACACGTCGCGCCCGGGAGGTCGCCGCAGGCGGATCGCGGCCGGCGGGCCGGCGATGCCCATGCTGGGCAAATGGAGCGCCATTTCACGTGTTCTTTGGATTGGCATAGGGGACAACTGCCGACGCATGGCCTTTGAGAGTCGGAGGGGATGTATTTGCGAATTGCGCGGGACGAGGGGCGGGGGGGGGGGGGAGAGGAGGGATACAAGGACGGTGTACGGAGGGAGAGAGCGAGAGAGGGAGGGAGGGAGGTGTGGAACCCATGGAGGCCTACACAAGGGGGAAGACATGCAGGAAGAGGAGGGAGAAAGAGAGATATAGGGGGAAAAAGAGGGGGTAGGTAGAAAGGGCAAAGGATGCAACTTTCCCCGGTCTTGTGGGTGCTGACTCCGATCACCGGCGGCGGTTGCGGTAGCCACTGCCACCGCGACGTGCCGAGTTGTTGGAACTGGAGCTCTCTGTGGGTGACCGGGGGAGGGATGGGACAAGGGAAAGAGGAAGAGAGCGAGAGAGAGAGAGAGAGAGAGAGAGAGAGAGAGAGAGAGAGCGAGGAAGACACAGGGGCACACAGGGGCACACAGGGGCACACAGGGGCACACAGGGAGACACAGGGAGACACAGGGAGACAGAGAGAAGAGATGGGTCAGTGGGGGAACCGAAGAAGCAGACGGGGTGAGAAAAAAAGACAGGTCCCAGCTGAGATGCAGGGCATGCGCGCACCGCTGCCGATGTTGAAGGAGAAGGGGGTATGCTGATTGCTGCTGGAACCACCGCCAAAACCCATCCCCGGCGGGGGCGGCCCAGCACCGGGGACGGTCGCCCCGCCAACTGGAGTGAAATTAAAGGATCCCTGAGGCTGGGCCTGCTGCTGGCCAAAGCCGGGCGTGCCAAACCCACCGCCCATCGAGGGTGACGGCGAGGCAGGGTGACTCTGCTGCTGGCCGAAGCCACCGGCACCGGCGCCAGTGCCAGTGCCAAACCCGCCACCGGGGGCTCCAAAGCCACCGGCCGGAACGCCGAAGCCACCAGCCGGACCGGTGGTCGAGGTAATGGTGGGCGAGTTGCCGAATCCGACAGCAGGAGCGCCGCCGCCGCCGCCGCCGCCGCCACCACCGCTGCCGAACCCGCTGCCACCAAACCCGCCGCCAGGAGCCCCGCCGCCAAACCCACCGCCGAACCCGCCGGCAGGGGCGCCGGTGCCACCGGGGGCATTGGTGGCTCCGGCCGCCCGGCCAAAGCCCGGCGAGCCGAAGCTGCCCGACGCGCCAAAGCCCGACGAGCTGGTAGACCCGAAGAAGTTGCCGGTCGGGGCGCCGGGCTGTGCGGCGCCACCGGGCGCTGGCGAGCCGAATTGCAACTGGCCAGGAGCGGGAGCGCTGCCGGCGGGCGGCTGGCCAAAGCCACCGGCGCCGACAACACCACTACCACCGGTGGTGCTGCCGGTGCCGCTGCTACCGCCAGTACCACTGCCAAAGGCGCCAGTGGCAGTGGCAGTGGGCCGGGCGCCGAAGCCGCCTGGGGTGGGACCGGTGTTGCTACCGAAGCCGCCGGAAGCAAAGCCACCGGCGCCGAAGCCGCCTCCGGGCGCCGCGCCACCAGCAGCAGCACCGGCGGCACCAGCACCGAAGGTCAAGCCACTTGAGGAGCCGAAGCCTGGATTGGTGCTCGCGCTGGCACCGGCCCCGAAACCAACACCCAGGCCCGAGCCAAACTGCCCGGCCGGCGCCGATGGACTGCTCACCGCCGGAGTGGCACCGAGGGCTGGCGTGGCACCGAGAGCGGGGCTGGCCGATGCATTGAAAGTGAACGCCGTGCCTGGGGCACTGCTGGGGGCAGCAGCCGGGGTGCCGGCAGCACCAGGGGCCGCCAGAGTGCCACTAGCTGCCGGAGTGGTTGAGAAGCCGCCAAAGCCGCCGAACGCCGGCTGGCCATCGGCGCGAGGGGCAGCACCAGCGGCAGGGGCAGCACCAGCGGCTGTGGTGGAGGCGGTGGAAGATGCGCCAGGCGCACTGAAGGTCAGGCCGGGCGTGGTGCCGGCCGGGGCAATGCTGCCTGGGGCGGCAGTGGTAGCCGCGACACCGGGAGCCGACGCGCCAAATTGGAAGGCAGGCGTAGCACCGGCAGTGGCGCCGGCCGTCCCAGCGCCGAAGCTGAGGCCCGTAGACGCGGCCGGTGTGGTGTTAGGCGCCGTCGAGGTTGTGAAGGAGGGCCCACCGGTGCCGGCCACAGTCGTGGCGGTGTTGCTGCCACTGGCGGAGGCCCCAGCACCAAAAGTGAATGCCGGGCCGGCGCCAGCCGTCGTCGAAGCCGCGGCCCCGGGAGTCGCCACGGCGGGGACCGAAGGAGCGGTGGTCGCCGGGGTGGCTGCCGTGTTAAAGGTGAAGCCGGTGGTGGCCGGAGCGGCAGAGGAGGGCGAGCCAGCTGGGGCGCCATTGGCGGCGGCGGCGGCGGTGGTAACAGTAGCGGCAGCGGCACTCTCGGTGCCCGGGGCGGTCGAGGTGGCCGCGGTGCTCACAGGGCCGGAGGCCCCGGCAGCAGGAGCGCCGAAGGTCAACGAGGAAGTGGCTGGCGCAGCGGCGGCGTTACCGGCAGTGCCGGCGCCGCCACCGAAAGTCAACGATGTCGATGGCGCGTTCGAGCCACTAGTCTCGGTCTTGGGCATGGTGAAGGTGAAGATGGCGCTGTTGACCGCTGGCGCGGCGGCGCTTGGCGCGGCCGTCGAAGCAGCCGGTGCGGTCGTCGAAGCAGCCGGTGCGGTCGTCGAAGTGGCCGGCGCGGCGAAGGCAAAGCCGCCCGAGCTAGCGAAGGACGCCGGAACCGGCTTCTTAGTGGAGGGCTCAAGTGCGCCCTCGGCGCTCGAGGTCGCCGCCCCGGGGAGAGGAGGGAAGGAGAAGGCACTCGAGCTGCTGCCGGCGTCTGAAGCCGCAGAAGTGGAAGAAACACGCTTTTTGCTAGTCTCAGAGGCATCGGAGGACCGTGTGGCCACACGAGTGGGCCGGGCAAAAATGCGATCAGTTGATTCGGAGGAAGGGGGCTTCTCCTGGCCCGAGGGCGGGTTGAAGGTGAAGGACGGCGTCGTGGCTGGCTTGGGGTCGGCGGCGGAGGCGGCGGAGGCGGCAGCCGGGCCGGAGGCCGGGATGTTGAAGGTGAAGGAAGCGCTTGGCAATTCGGACGACAAGCCGGACTTGGGGCCGGCATCCTTGGAGGCAGCGACGGCGCTGGTGGTGCTCCCGAGGGCGGAACCACTGGCGGAGGAGGACGACAGCGAGGAGAGGGAAGCACCCGCACCGGCGCCGGCGCCGGCGCCAGCGCCAGCGCCAGCATCAGCGCCACTGCCGAAGGTAAAGGCGGGCTTTGATGACGATGAAGAGAGGAGGCCCGCAGGCTCGGTGGTCTTGCGCGAGGATGGCTTCGAAGTGGCCGGGGAGGCAGCATCAGTACCCGGAGAAAATAGCGACGAGGTGCCCACATTCAGCGTGATGGGCGACGGAGAGAGGAACCCCCCATCCCCTGGCCGCGAAGTGGCACCCTCGGCGGAGGGCTTGCCCCCCTTCGACCGGTCGTCGGATGTCGGCAAATTGAAGGAGAAGCTCCCGGGCGCGGAGCCGAAGCTGGAAGAAGACGAATCCGAGGAGGAGGAGGAGGAGCTGGTGCCGAAGCTCAGCAGCGGAGCAGCTAGAGGAGCGGCACCGGCACCGGAGCTGGACCCGGTCGTGCCATTCACCCCGGCGGGCTTGGAGGTCGATGCATCGTCACTTGAAGCAGTGGTGCTGGTGCCAGCGCCGGTGCCGGTGGCAGTGGTGGCGGTCGTCGGCGCGAAGGTAAGGGCAGTGGTGGAGGTAGACGGGACCCCGGCAGTGCCAGACTTCGCCAGGAGTGTGCTCTTGCGAGCCTCGGCCTCCTCGGCCACGGCCTTCGCCGCACGAGCAATTAGCCGGCTCAAGGGGGTGGAGGGCGGCTCGGCCGAGGTCCGCCGGACCAGGTAGTCGAGGAAGCTCTCGGTGTCGGTGATGTTGTCCGCGCTCCGGGGCGTCAGGACGCCAAGCGATGACATGGGAGCACGAGCACGCTGGGCGGTGCACTTACTCACCCGCTTGGTGCCCCGCACGCGGCGGCTTGTGGCGGGGGCCGGGGCAGACGTCGAGGCCGGGGCCGGGGCCGGGGCCGGGGCCGGGGCCGGGGCGGTAACGGGAGCCGACTGAACGGCGGCCTTTTGAGCCTGGATCTCCTTGCGACGCTTCTGCAGCGGCCCAGCGGCGGGCATCGTGGAGACGAGAGATGGGGAGTTAGGGACGATTCCTCCCCGACAAGCACATGGTCAAGGTGAACACAGGGGCACGCACAATGCGGGCGAGAATGGCCACCTCGAAATCCTCGCCGACATCCTCCTCTGAAGGGACATCCACAGGCATATTCAGGGTGGTCTCAGCATGAGGGGTATCATCGACAATGGGGGCCTTGGGGGCCTGGGACGTCGGCTCGCCATCGGGCTCCTGCGCGACCTCGGACTCGCGCTTGCGCTGGAGAGGAAGACCGGCGGCAGTGGCGTCAGTGACAGGCACACGAGAGGTAACCGGGCGACAGCCTGCGAGCAGGCAATGGGGGAGAGTAGGGGGGGGGGGGGGGGGGGGGGCGCACCTTGGGATCACGCTCGCGCAGGGGAGAAGCCTCGGAGATCGGGCTGTCGGTGCCGGGGACACCGGCCGGGGGCTCACACGCCGCGGGAGTCGGGTGCGCCGGACCGGCAACCGTCGCCGGGCCATCGCCCGAGGCAAGACTGGCGCCCTCCGGCACGAACCACTCGAGCGGCTTGACCGGGGGGAAGGTCACCTCCGAAGTGTCCAGGCTTGGAAGGTCCACCAGATCGATGTCTTCGCCCGCGGGGTGGGTGGCCCCACTGGGGGGCAGGTCGCCAGTCTCGGAATCAGATGAGAAGGAGTAGGCCCCGGAGTAGAAGACTGGCTTCAAGCCGGCGCCGGTCCGACGCGGCCCGGAGATGTCCAGGAGGTGGGCCATGCCGACGGGCTCCGATAGGGCTATTGTTCCGCACGGGAGAAGGGGAAGGAGGAGGCCCAAGAGGTGAGCCGAGGTGTGGCGTGCAAAGGGCGGAGGAGGGGAGGGGAGTCAGGCCCAGGAAGAGGGGTGGCACGCACTTTCCGGTCCAGCATCGGCGTGAGGGCCTTCGCCCGGCGTCTCGCGTCGCTTGTAGAGAAAGCTGACGAGCGAGACTGTGGCGATGGCGGCGAGTGAGGCAGGCAACATGGTCGGAGCGCGCGTATGTGGGCGTGCTATGTATGTGTATAGGTGTATGGGTAGATAGGTGTGGGTGCTGTGGGTGCGTGTGTTGCGGGAGCCTGTGAAGAAGAGGAGGCAGAGGGGAGGGAGGGAGAGGGGAGG